ATTCGATTACTCGAATATTCGTTACAGTCTCCATAATCGAAAATTATTTTTAAAATTCGATTTTATTTATATATTTTTTATTATTATTTATGTTTTGCGGGCGGCAGGCGTCGAATCATCGATTATTATTCGCCAGGGCTCTCCGATTTTCGATTTTGATCATGGTCAGTTTCTGGCATCCCTAATTAACACATGGCTTTTGACTTCAGTGGGAAAGGGTAAGCATTCATTTCAGGGACAAATAACTGTATTCATCTCGGGTATTTATTGGAAAATGACACCTAGAGGGACCCTTCTTCTTATTTTATATGTGACATGTTTTGAAGGATTGATATTAAATACAATAAACACATGTTTTCAACTAATAAACAAACAAGTCAGATGTTTTCCTGAAAGCTATAAGCAGAAACTTGACTTAAACAAACTCAACAGAAGCTAAATAAAACCAACTGTAACTTGTAAACTTTGTTCATCTTGACACCGTCTCCACAATCAATAACTGTGGTTTGAGAGTTTGATAGAGAGACTGAATAAATAACAGATACACGATAGACGGAAATTGCTTTTACTGTAAACTTAACCCCTTTTTTTGGTGCTTTTGTGACCACAAGTATATTGACAAATGTTCAAAAACACAGATTTACTCATTTACTGGCAGTGTGAAGGGCGTCGTCTATCAGCAATAGAAAAGGGGAACAGGAGTGAGAACAGCTGTCTGACCTTGTCGAAGGGAGGGAAGATGATGGAGTGAGACGAGTGCTCGGGGAAGTGGATGTGCAGCGCTGTGGCGTTCTCCGTGTACGGGTTGGTCTGGATGGTTCCTATGGGGTTCAGCATCTCTTCAAGTTCATCTGCGGGAGAAGCACATAGGAAAGCATGAAATAACAGGCATGCACTGCAACAAGTGGACATCTTGACAAGTACATAAAGCAAGTGAAGAACTTTCAGTCAAAGACTCTTGAAAACATCTTATTTTGAGTTGAATCTCAGACGATTCTTTTAAGCTGCTGTGGGATTTGTAAAAGATGGATCATATGGTTTGAAAAATGACATCTTACTTGATTCTAGAAAACACATTTTTATTGGAAAAATCCACAGACGAAAAAAGTCTTATTTTGTAACAACATTTCCTCATCCTGGTCAAATAGTTAGAAATAAGTTTTCCCAGCTCATTACAAGATCTTATTCGTCTAAATATCCAGCAAGCAAATGTTCACTTGTTCTATTTGTAGATTTCTTGATTTATTCAAAGCGAAAACACCTTGTTTTTATAATTGTTTTTGATTTTGGAAGCAGCATTTTGTCCAGTGACACTGGAGTATGGTGGTACTGTCGCTCATTTAACCCTAGATGTGTTTTTATCAGCAGATATAACGGAGGGTGTACCAGGAAAGGAGGACCAGCAGTGCAGGATGATGTCTCCCGTCTTCAGCTGGCCTTTGTAGTCGAACACCATGGTGTTGACCCAGGCTATGGGGTAGTGCTGGATCACAGAGAGAGAAATAGGGATTAGTCAATGTGCTTAGAAATACAAATCCACTCCTTTAGTTCCTCAACAAGTAGGCAAACATACTATCTGACTAGTTACATAATTCAAAAAATGCGCGGTCAGCAATACATTTTACTCCCAGGACCCCCCCCTCTTTCTGTTAATGCCAAAAAGTTTAAAAAAGATACGGCCCTAGTCCTTAAATATCATGTCTTAATGCTGGCCAGGAAAGCATCGATCTCAGAGGTTATGTTATGACTATACAGTCTAGTAAACCCCTGGAATCTCTTGGTGTTAGATACTGTCTGGAGTTATCAGAAGTATCACAGGACAGCGTGTATGGAAACATGCCGGACTTGAGCTCGTCAGATTATCATTTTGTTCCAAGTATTATAAGTGTAACATGTCATGTTTTGTGCGTCCTCCTTTAATTTTACATTTCTCATTTTCAGTAGACCGGTCTTGTATTAGAAACGTGTTGCAATATCATGTTGTTTTGTTTGCCTCCTAAGAAATAACATTCAAATACAAATATTGACAGGGTATATGCAGGAATCCTGAAGTCACATGTAAAACCTTTGAAGACCTTTTTTAAGACCCTCTCCAAACATGTTAAGACCTCATCGCCACTTTGAGTTCTAACCGGTTACCTTGGCGACACACTTTACCTCACATTGACTATATACAGTATTGATTGTTCTTCCAACCGTTTGGACGCAAACTTGCATTTCCCCATAACGATGTTGCTTAGCAACCGGCGTAAACGGACCTTCGCACGCTATCAAGCAGTGAGCGTGCGATGTCCTGTTCAGATGACGTCAAATCCAACGGGATGCCATAAATAAAGTACACAGAATCACACTACACACCTACGCAATGATTACATTCAGGCAGACTGTAGAATACAACCTCTTTGGACCATACAACCTCCTTTGCGACAATTATATACTTATTGAAAACAAGCCTTACAAAATGTAATACCTTGGAAAATGCCGTTTAATACTTTTTAATAGCCTTAATTTTCGCTAAATTTATTTATCAACTTTTAATACTTTTTAAGAGCCCGCGGACACCCTGATTAAAGAAAAGAACAAACAGGTAAACGGCTATCAGGTTTATAGACTACCATCAAAGCCAAGGTCCAGTGAACCCCCAATAATAGGTGAAACATATGCAATAATAAACCCAGAGTTTTTATTATCAACAAATTATAAGGTGCAATCTTCTGTGAACAAAGTTCGTCTAAAATGACAGAATTATTTGTTTTTGCTCGACTAGATTTACGGAAATAGAATAAAAGTTGACTAAATGTTAGGACTTTAGCGACTCAAACTATGGAGGCTATCTATAATGACTTAAAAACTAAACAAGTTTCTTTTTTTCTTCTTCTCTTCTATAGCGTCTCCTACACTACAACAACTTGAAATCTTGCCATATATATTTATCTAATATCTAGTCAGAATATGTCTTCACACCTGATATAATACATAATAACTTCAGAAGTCACACTGCAGTGAGATATCGGGTCATGTTTTTAGACAATGCATCATCTTGTTAAGTCAAATAATCTTATTTTGAGTCGTATCTCAGATGAAACATATTGTTTTACATATTTATAAGAAAATCACCAACTAACATCAGAACACAGAAACACTTTTGAGCGTTTGCGGCTAATATTGTAACATCTCCTGATTCTGGTCACATATAGTTCAAAATGAGTTCTCCCAGCTAATTACAAGATCTGATTTATCTAAATATCCCTTCTTATTTCAGGAACTCTGACCAAACAC